CGCGGGACGGCAACGTCACAGGTCATTGTGGCTGGTTCCGCATTTATGCATTTATACCAGTATTTTTTATTAAATAAGGATGTATAGAGTTAAATAATAATTATTAAATACTAACAAAAATATTTTCAATTAACAGGAGCAACCAATAATGATTAAGATCCAATATTCCATCGTTGTATTGAGCGCCAGTGTGGAACTTTTTATGTGTGCTTTGCCAGCTGATAATTTAATGCATATGGTGATATATTCTTAATCAATTTCAATTTTAGATATATAAGCTACGCAATGACATGTTATTCCTGTTTATAGAGTAACAAAATTTGTCTGGGGGCTTACGAGTCGCAGTGGTTTCAAGGAAGCGTGAACATGCAGAAAAAAATCATTCAAATTATATTCAGATCGCAGAAATCTGAAGTTATTCGCATTAATGGTATTCTTCCAGCCTTGTCGTTACGTTACTACGCAGGGGTAAGGATAATGCCTTAGATACTTTTATAGACTACATTTATATGTCGTCTTTAATCAAGTTTAATAACATCTGTAGTTATAAAACTGGCCAATCACAACTTTTCCTCAGAAAGAAGGAATGACTGTGATTGGTCAGCTCCTTAACTACGGATGTTATTAAACCCGATTAAGGATTCCGTGTAACAGCACTCGTAGATACTATAGTCATATTCAATTGTAACTATAGCAGAAAGAAACCTGAGAGCGGTTACGCCGTAGGCTTTACTTGGGACCGATTTTGATGCTGGCAGTGCCACCAAAAGTGGAGTGGTGTAAGAACTACGGAGTCACATCCACTTATCGACGCAGTGGATAAATATCACTTTTTGGTGCGTGTCCGTGCTACATCCACTTTTCGATATTGTTTTAACATCTATAAATTGTGGATATAGCACAGACATACGCCAAAAAATGATTTATTGGCAGTGTTGAAATGTGGATGTAGCACGGACATGCACCAAAAAGTAATTTATTGACAATGTCGAAAAGTGGATGTAGCAGAGACACGCACCAAACAAGTGATATTTATCGACTGTGTCGAGAAGTGAATGTGTCTCTGTAGTTCTCACATCCACTGCAGCCAACTCTGTCACACGATTACTAAATTTACTAGAATGTCGATGTGCTATATATGTGTTACTCACACATAGTAAAAAATGACAAGGACGACAAGACAAGAAATTGCCCGTCCTCGTCTAATAATTTGCAGTGCCATCTACCGCAATATCCGTTAACTAAATTAGCCATGTTTTCACTCTATTTCACTGAAATCCGAGGAACATACGGATCATAAGTTTTAGTCTGGCCAAATTTTTTATTGGTATTATGAAATTAAAAGAGCTTAATACAGGTTAAAGTACACATTCATAGGTAGGAGGGGTTGAGAAATTTTGTCCACCAAAGTTGCGAAACAGTTATACGAAGCAATTCTAACCGCTACATTGATTTGGTTCTCTAGGTAAATAAATATAATTTATTCCCACATAGCACTGACGTAACAAGGATATCCTTATGAAGTTACAGATATCTCAGAGATATCTGAGAGATATCTTTATACAAATGTCTCAGAGATATCGTAGCAAATATCTCAAAGATATTTGAGAGACATCTTTATGTAATATCATACACAGATCTCTCAAAGATATCTGAGAGACATCTATATGTAATATCATATATAGATGTCTCTCGGACATTTATCCTGAACATGTATTTTCAGAATAGTATAGTACAGTACTAGTACCACTCACTGCCGCGACGTGGCGACAGCGCGTTAGCCTTTCTCGTAAGGAAAGATCATCCCGTATTAGTATAAGAGGCGAGCCGATATGACTCGAGAGCAGGTTGTCTCTATCATGGATAAAACTTCAATGACCTAAATATACTTTTGATGATTTAATAATTTAACACAATTTAAAAATTAGTTTTAAAAAATTAAGATTTTTTAATAGGTAACCTGCTGATATTTTACTACCCCGCTATTACCCAAATAGCACAAGTCCGTCCTGGACGTCCTTGTGCTACTCGTATTTGGGATATCTTTTTAGAATAAAACGATATCGCAAGGACGTCTCTGTTACGTCCCATTGCATGTTACGTCACATTAACATTATTTTGGGACATCACAAAGATGTCTCTTAGATATTAACTTGAGATGTGATAAAAGGCGGACATTTGGATATTCCCGTGATATCACACTGATGTAATTTGGATTTTTAAAAAAAGGTAAAAAAAGCACCAAGTCTAAGCTCCAATTCAACCGAATATATTTTGTTACTCTATCTTTTTTGCAAAAGTATAATCTCTACAAAAATATCTTTACTGCAAAAGTATCTTCTTTACAAAAATAGTGTCTCCACAAAAATCTTCTGTACAAAAATATCGTCTCTACAAAAATATCTTCTCTACAAAACTATCTTCTCTACAAAAGTAATGATATCAACAAATTGCGCCAAATAAAACAGCGGATATTTATACAAACTAGTTGCTTTAGCATTAGTTTTTTATTAAAAAATGTTATATTTCTTAAAAATCAAACTAAAGATTTTATTGGAAAAAATAATCGAGTTAATAG